TAGATCTGATGGTGTGAATCTAGTAGCCATAACTCTACCCCTTAATTCAACTAAATCCTCAAAGTTTCTGGCAGAAACTTTATAACCTGAAGCCAACTGTGCTAAGTCATTTGCTTCTTGGTTTTCTATTCTTGGTATATGTTGAATATCCATGTATTCAAATTTCCTAAGTAGCCTGTTAACTATGACGAAGTATATCATCAGGTTTTCCTTTATGCATTTATACTCCTTTGTTATTTGCTTGACCACTAATTTTGAGTCTCCTTTAATTTCGACTCTAGTTGCCCCCAATTCCAACAAAGCTTCAAGTCCGACAATGAGCGCTTCATACTCAGCTTCGTTGTTCGAGCAACGAGGACCATCTAATTTATACTTGAATTTTGTTGGAATTCCTGCAGGAGAAATTATAAGGACTCCAACACCACTTCCATTCCTGTGGGTCGAACCATCAAAGTATAATTTCCATGGTTGCATTTCGACGTAACTCATGACAGTCTGCTCAACCAATGAATGGTCCACAATGAAATCAGAAATCACTTGGCCTTTCACAGCTTTTAAAGGCATGAAAGTCAAAGAATATTCTGTTAAGGCTAAAGCCCATTTACCAACTCTGCTATGCATTATTGGTTTCGAAAGCATGTGTTTAATGACATCGAAATGAGATGAAACATAAACATCAACAGGCTTTATATAATATTTGAGTTTCATACAAGAGAAGTACAAACAGAGACATAGCTTTTCTAAATTGCTATATCTGGTCTCTGCATCGTTCAATACTCTACTTAAATAGTATATGGCTCTTTCGATGCCATTGCTATCTTCTTGTGCTAACATACTACCTATACTAACTTCAGAGGCAGATATGTGCAATCTCATGGGCTTTCCCCATGAAGGTGGAGACAAGATGGGAGGCTGTGAGAGGTATCTTTTTATCTTGTCAAATGCCTCCTGGTGGACTTCGTTCCATTCGAAGGCTTGGCCTTGCTTTAAACGAAGCAACGGAGAGAAAGCTTGGGTTCTTCCACTCAGATTCGAAATGAACCTTCTGAGAAAGTTAATCTTCCCTAGCAAAGATTGTAACTCCCTTTTTGACGCAGGTGCTTTCGTCTCCATTATGGCTTTGGTTTTGTTTTGGTTTTGTTTTGGTTGATCTCAATTCCTTTCTTGTGAACCACAAAGCCAAGTAAATCTCCAGCCTGCACAAAAAATGCACATTTAAGGGGATTCATCTGTAAGCCATGTTTTCTCATTCGTTCAAATGATTGGCTCAAATGATGCAAATGGATTTCTGCAGATACAGATTTGATGACTATATCATCAATATACACCTGCATAAAGGTTTCAATGAAATCATGAAAAATCGAATTCATTGCCCTTTGATAAGTTGCCCCAGCGTTTTTCAAACCAAAAGGCATCACCACCCATTCGTAGGTGCCTAAGGCTCCTGGGCAACGAAATGCTGTCTTGGCAACATCTTCTTCAGCAATAAAAATCTGATTATACCCAGAGTATCCATCTAACATACTCAAGTATTCGAATCCTGCAGCAGAGTCTACTAGCATTTCTGCCACAGGCATGGAGTACTCATCCTTAGGGGTTGCAGTGTTTAAATCCCTAAAATCTATGCAGATTCTCAAAGAACCATTTTTCTTAATAACAGGTGTTGTACCCCAAAATTTGCCCTCCCATATTCTTCAAGATTTGCCAAGATCAATCTCCAGATGGTTCAAAATCTCTCAAGGGTTGCACAGTCCAATTGCCTCCTAACGCAGTCAAGATTAGGGTGTTGGTTATGACAAAGAAGTTTAGGGTCCAATCAAGTCCCATATGCCCATATACATTGTCAAGCATCCATATGCCAAAAACCCTAAATGCTTCACAGTCAACTACATGGGCAAAATGGTCATTTGACAGTCAAAAGTCAAAAATTTTGGTCAACATCTTATTTTGAAGCCACAAACATCATTTGATCAATTCTTGATCATGATTCTCAAAGCATGGCTCAAAAAGTCTCAAGATGCAAAAGTTTCTATTTTTGGACAGCTGAAAAAAGTCAACTGCAAATTGACCAGGGCATAACTTCTTCATGGTTTATCAGAAAAAACCCCATCCAAATCTCATTTTGAAGAGAATGAAATTTCCTACAACTCATCTTCACACTTCAAGTCCAAGAAATGCTCTCACAAAAAGTTATCAATTTCAACATTATAGGTCATTTTCAAAAGTCAACAAAAAGGAACTTTAAGTAAAAGACCATAACTTGAGATTGGTAAATCAAAATGACATGGGACCAAAGGAATTGGTTAGAGGACTTCAATACCTTTCCAAAATGTCCAGGAACATGATCAAAGCTTCAAAATTGAGCAAGATATGCCTTGTAGAAGTTGGGAAATTTTTGGGAATTTTGAAAAGTCAACTTTGCTTCAAAAGCCTCAAAATTGCTAATGGGCCTCAATTTCTTCCATGAATCATTACCCAAAGGCTATGCACGACCCATTAAGCTAAAAGAGAGTTATTTTCTTATTTTTAATTAATTAATTGAATTTTTAATCTTATTAATTCATTTAATTAAATTTAAATATGAGAAAAATACTAAACAATGGTTTTAAATCCTTTTTGTGCAGCAAATCCTTCCATTATGAGATAAATATTTCGTGCACCTTCTCAAGGGAACAAAATCATCCAAATTTGGTATGATTGGCATGAAAAAGATTGAAAAAAGATATGGAAAATCAAATATTCAAAACATTGATTCAAGGACTTTGGGCTTGGTCTTTCTAACCTAATTTGCTTCAGATACATAGCAGAACCTAAACCTATTCCATTAGACACAGAAGCTGCGCTCAAAACCATAGAACAACATTGCATTTTTTGACAAAAATATTGAAAACTGAAAACCTAGTTAGAAGGCGTTTCAAAGCTTCAAAAGCGTTCCAAAGCATTGCTGAGACACCTAGGAAGCTTTTACAATCGAAACCAAGTCTCTAGACTTCAAGGGTTGGTAGAACGACATCACACTTTTCTTGAAATTGTCCATTATCGTTTTGTGATTCACATGCATTTTTCATATGTTTTTAATGTTGATTTACACTAACAATGACATTCTGAAGCTAATGGTACCATTCAATTGAAGTATGGCTGCCTAAATAAGAATCCACCATTAACACTTGCTAGGGTTTCTGAAGCTCCAAAAGAGGGTTTTCCACATATGGAAAAATTGGACAACCAAATTGATACCATTGAAATCGTGACAACAAGACGAACTGAACTCACACCTCGCGCCCAATTTATATTTGCTCATTGCCTAATCGCTATTTTTCCCGGTCTTGTTTAGTGGGGGTTTAAAACCCCCGCTATTTGCTTTTAGTTACAGGAAAAAGATGAAGACGAAGCCTATGTGTCTGAGCGTGATTGGAGGGTTTGAATGTTAGCGCGTTTTTTGTTTTGGTTCAGCATAATACTTTCTTTTCATATATATTATTTCTATCCCATTATATTGACAAAGAGACTCAATGGCTCAGTTGGTTGGTGTGCTGTCCTACAGGCATTGGGACCTGGGTTCGATTCCCAGGTCCCCCATATTCTCAATAATTTTTGTTGTAACGTGTTCATATGCAGCATGCTCCTGACGTCCTACCATGCACACACACGCCCAAGCTCGCCACCTATGCATGAGGATCCATCTGAAGGCTATGAATGGAGGTCCACACGCTGGTCAACCACTCCACACGTGAGTCCTGAAAGTCAAAAAAAAGGGCTTGCATTCTTGGGCCAAATTGCTCCAATAAACCTCCAAATTGGGTCTGAATACCCCTATGGTTTGCATCATATTTTCTAATTTCCTTTTCTTTTCTTCTTTTTTATTTTAATTGTTTTTTGTTTTATTTAATTCACAAAAATAATTTTCATAATAAAACCAGAAAAATCAAAACTAAAAATATGTTTATTTAATATTTAATTCATTCATATTTTTGTAAATAAATCTTTAAATCATTAATTTAGTAAAATTAGGTTTTCAATTTTAATCTTTTCTTAAATAACTAAAATATATAGAAATTAGGGTTTTTAGCATTTTTATCCTTTTTTTTAATAAATAATTTTTTCTTATTATCATTATTATTAATTATTAATTAATTTTGTAAATACCCATGTAATTAATTAACTAGTGTAAATTAGGTTAAACTTGAATATTTTTCTTTAACAATTAAAAATAATTTAGAACTAGGGTTTCATTTAACTTCCAATTTTAATTAATTTTCTTTATTTTCATTAAATATAAAAAACATAAAAAACAATTTCTTCTCTTAATTAAATAATTAATTAGCTTTTTAATTTAATTTAATTTCAAAAGGGTCCAACGCCCTCGAACATTCGATTCTAATTTCTTTTCGCGCATTTACTCTTATTTATTTTCTTGTGAATATTATGTAATTGCTCAAGCCTTGTAATAGTAATTAGGAATTTATTTTCTTTCCGCATTTTTTATTAAAACGGGTCTTTGTTAATTTGGCGATGTATAGACCCGCGCCTTGTAATAGCGTAGGATTTTACTTTCCGCACTTTAATTTCCGCGCTTTTAAATTCTAAACTTTGCATGAAAGAATGTATGGCCCAAATAAAATCAACCCGTAGCTCACCATAATGCATGATCAAAGATAATGGTTTCTGTGCTTGTTTTGTCGGGTTTGGCATCAACAAATCAAAGCTAGGAACTATTTTCTTTGTAGTTTGTACTGTATTTTACTTCAATTCAATACAATCCGCGCTTCTTGATTTAGAAACCTATTTTGTCTTGACTAGGCAAGTTTGGTGGAAACATCTTTTTCGTTACTGTCTCAAAAACTCCTGACTTGAAGAACATTGTACAGACACTATTTGAGCAATGTGGATGTCACGTGCCTGAGTTTCAAACTGATGAGGATGCAATTAACTGATTGGGAGTTCTGATGGAGCATGTTGGTAGAAATCCAATATAAGATTATAAGATTTTGGTGACTTCAATGGTTGCTCTTAGAAGATTTGGCTCCCTATGCCAGTTGGATCCACTTGACCATGCTTCTGCAGTGGCCCTTTTCCATCACTATGCTCAGTTGAATCATAGCAGCTCATACATTCCTGATGAAGTTCTTGTCCATGAGGTCCTTTCTCATAGTAGTATACAATTGCATAGCATTTTGATGATACTCGCTGATTTTGCTTCTACGCACAGATAGTGAAACGTTGTAAGGGTTCGCCGTTGGCGCTTGAGGTCATTGCTGGATCACTTTGTCAGCAACCTTTTGAGAAATGGCAAAATATGAAGCAACGTTTAAAGAGTCAATCCATTTTTGAGTCTAATAAAACTAACTTGCTATGCTACCTTCAACAAAGTCTGGAAATATTGGAGGATATCAATGAGAAGGAGTGCTTCATTTGACTGGTTTATCTATTTACTCTACCAATGTTCTTGCATAAGTGCAATAAGAAATATTCATTCTCTTGTCATACATCATCTTCTATGATTATGGTGATTTAATCTATATGATGTTTTTACAGATGAAACATTTTCTTCGGATTGGTGTTACATGCAACCTGATGAAGCTGAGGTTCTGGTTTTAAATACTCATTACCAGATTTCACAGAGAAAATGAGCAAACTGAAAGTCTTAATAATCACAAATTACGGTTTCAATTATTCTGAATTAACCAAGTGTGAGCTACTTGGTTTTTTATCAAACTTGAAAAGAATAAGGTTGGAGAAAGTTTGGGTCCCTTACATATGCGGACTCGAGTCTGCAAAAATTATCCCTTCTTATGTGCAATACAAAGAATGCTTTTGAAAGCTGTTCTATCCAAATTTCAAATGCTCTATCAAATCTAGTGGAGTTGAGCATTGACTATTGCAATGATTTGATTAAATTGTCTGATGGATTTTGTAACATCACCACTTCGAAGAAGGTCAGTATCATAAACTGCCACAAGTTTTCTGCATTGCCTCAAGATTTTGAAAAGTCGGAGAATTTGGAAGTGCTAAGGCTTTGTTCCTGCTCTGATTTAGTAGAGATGCCAAAATCTGTAGGAGGCCTTAAAAAGCTACGTCGTCTCGACTTCCAAAGTTATCCAACGATATTGGTGACTTGCAAAAGTGAACTTCCAAAGTTATCGAACGATATTGGTGACTTGCAAAAGTGAATCGCCTTATTCTGTCATCAATTTTGGAAATTTAAAGCATAAAATATCGGTGACATGTGATGAAGGGGGCTATTTAAGGGAACATTTTCCTAACTTTCCCAATCTAAAGATAGACATGCCTAAAGTAGATATTAGCTTAAACTTTCTACATGGAACACATTCCTGAGTTGTTTCCCGAAGATAAAGTGACTTGAAGTCATGTTGATACTTGTAAAACAATGTCGTTGGATGCATTTGTTTTCCTATTTATACCATAATCTTGTCCAGGTAAACAGTAGTGAACAAAACATGAGTTACCATAATATTGTCCAGGTAAACTGTAGTGAACAAAACATGAGTTACCATAATATTGTCCAGGTAAACTGTAGTGAACAAAACATGAGTTTGTGTTGGCCGGTATCGTAATGTAATATACATAAATCTGGCCTGTTTTAATTGTCAAAAAAAAAAGTGTGGCCTGTTTTGTTCTATCTTCTTGAATACATTGTATACAAGAATACAATGTATTCAACAAGATACTACAAAAAGATAATGAACAATTGAACACGGCCAAAATCTCTTTCAGAGCATACAAATCAAGTAGAGGTCCTCTCCGTTTGTGAAAAGAAATCGAGAGCTCGTTACCATATTTCATGCATATAAAATCTCAATTATGCCATGCCACGTTCTAAAATTATGCCAATATACATCCTAAATTGAAGTTGTGGAACTTTTTTTAAGGAATAAAGAAGATCCCTACAAATTAGAAAACATGTTGCCTCAACTCACAAAAGTGATACTTATAAATGGTGTGGACAATGCATGTTCCAAGAAAGCATACAATATATAAATCAACATGATGAACTTCGTGCATCATCCAGTCTGCAGAAAATAGTCTCAGAATATTTATTTTTTTAGCTTTGAGGCTGAGAAAGCCATAAAGCTCAATATAAGGTGCTTCCTTTCAATATGTGACCTCTATGATGATTAAATTATATGGCATATACAATCTCACCACTGCTATCTACATCAAGTTCATAGTCAGAGTCTATTTCATCCATATCTTCATCCACTTCGATAAACTCGTCAAAATAATAGCTCCCAGCTGCTGGTACGGTAGCTTCTGAAATTATCTGCATGATCGTATCCATACTCTGCATAGGCTGATCTGGCTCTTCAAATTGGTTATCCATTATATTTTCATTCACCAAGTCAGCAGGAAGATTCTTTCGGAACCATTCGTTCTTCATTATTTCTGGAATGGTGATTCTCTGCCACATAAATATTTAGATTCATAAGATTCAAATAAATGAATAAACTAGCAAGAATGGAAGTTAATAACCGTTATCCTATATAATCAAGAAGTTCAGTTTTAATTTGCAATCAACATTTTTCCATGTCGATTATGATCATGATTTCTTATTATATAGTAATGGAAGCAGATATGCCAACAATACATTGTAAACACACTGCTCCATATAGAACAAAAGCAGTGCAGAACCTAGAAAACGAAAAGGTATAACATTAAGATATGTTAAAACAGTAGATATACTCACGGTTGCTAAATTTAAGAATCTACAAAAAGTGTGGAATCTCAATGAGTTTACTTAATACAAAATAAAATTTGAAACATTTATTATAGTACGTTAACATAATTTAAATTCATGGGAACCAAAGAATTTACCTTTAATTTAATACTATGTGCATAGTAAATAATGAAATTCTAACTTAGTAACAGAGTAAACCATAAAAACAGTTTGCAATCAACAAATAAATTTAATTAAGATGGGTTCATACTTTATAGCTCCAAACAAGGCCAAAATAGAAGAACATAGCATCACAAATAAAAATTCATGGATGAATTCCCAGATCACAGGTTATTTTCAAAGCTTGGCATACAGGAAGAGCGTAATCTCGAGACTAACGATTTGGATAGAAGCATCGCCATAGATAGAATATTATTGCGAAATTCTACCTAACTTTTGGATTATTCAACATCAGGTGGATTGCTAGCATATATTTCACAAACTCTTCAGGAACTGTAGTGTTTGTCAAGGTATATTTAAGTAGAAGTGAGTTCTTGGAAAATAGAAATTACCTCTGCAGGGTCAAAAACAAAGATTCTTGATATAATGTCGCGACATTCAGGAGATATTTGAACAAAGTCTGGTACGGAATACTGGACACTGAGAACCCTCTGCAGGGAACCAACCAAAACCAGTTGGGCTCACAATCAGAGGCTCATAAACCAAAAACATGCAAACAGCTTAATATCTGATCAACCTGAATTGTCTTCCGGAAATCCTTCGGATTATCGGGATCTTCAAAAGGATATGACCCCACTAGCATCACGTATAAGGTTACACCACATGACCAGACATCGGCAATCTGATATTAAATGAGTGGAAACGTTAAAGAAACTCATTAAAATACTCAATATACATACTCACAGCATGAAAACTAGAAATGTCTAAATTCACCGCACCACCAAAAACGGGGTGGGACTCAAGAATATAAGTTCATCAGTAAGATGTAAAAACTTAACTAGTGATATTGCAGATTAAAAATATGATAAAGTATCCTTACAAAGTTACAACCATTAACTACTAAATGCAGGTTCATTATTACATGTGTACAATTTCAAAAAACTGAATGAAATACTATACAGAACTCGCTCATGAATTTTTCTACGCAAATTATGAAAGAAATATTATACAGAAAAACAACAAGGTCATAAACTGAATACTCTGACCTTTCCATCATACTCTTGCTTCAGAAGTACTTCTGGAGCAATATAAGCAGGAGTTCCCACAGTTGACTTTGGCTGTGAATGAAGCACCGAAGACTGCCGATAACATGATATATTAGATTTCTAAGATGAAAATTGCTTAAATATAAAAATTACTCGCCAACCGCATACCAATCATGGTAAAACATGTAAAGCACAGAACTCAAACAACAGAAATCTTGAGAAACAAAGGAACCCTTACTTTGGAGTATCCAAAATCACAAATCTTCAGATGAAGTGCTGGGTCTCCATCCAACAACGTGTTTTCCAACTTCAGATCTCGATGACATACTTGCTTCATAAAGAGACAAATTATACATAATACTGAAAAGATTGGTACACACCAGTACATTACCTATGCTACATTCTATGGTAATTTAGACACGATTTTATCAGATAGCGGGGAAGGGAGAGGGGCTCAATTACCATTGAATGACAATAGCTGACCCCGGATATGAGTTGTTGAAAGAAGAAACGAGCCTGCAACATACAAATTGGTTAACAAGATAAACGAGAAATAAATTACAAGTACAGATTATTCTCAATGAGTGATAGGAAAAGTAAACAAATTGTATAAAGACCTCATCCTCAGTAAAACGCCCCGCTTTGCTGATTCGATCGAACATTTCTCCTCCAGATGCATATTCCATTACAATGGCCAGATGAGTAGGTGTTAAAATGACCTGAGTGACATTTCAACATTTCTGTAAATATAAATATCCTTCTTTGATTATAAAAAATATAGAAACATACTAACCTCCTTAAACCTAACAATATTAGGATGTCTTAGAGACCTGTGATTGATTATTTCTCTCTTAACATTTTCATCAATCTGCGACACACAATAACATGATAGGTGAAAAATGAGAATCACACTCTATTGGAAAAAGTTATGAAGAAACTAGCACGAAAAATGCACTGTAAAGTTCATTTTAAAAAGATCATACTTAAATCAAAAGTATGGTTTGGAACACCAAATTTGTTCCCTTGCTCGCCATTTCATTGTGAAAACGAAAAACAAATGGACTCCAGCAACAACTATGTCACAACCCACAATTCTTCTTCTTCTTCAATAGCAACAAACAATGGATTCAAAACCCAAATTATCAAAGTCCGCTAAATGCACCAAACCCTACCCATTGCAATCCCTAGTCCCATGGGCATTTTGATTTCTATTCATAAAGATCATGGACAGTTAAACAATCAAAATTCATTTTTTTAGTCTAATTGACATTTCAGCTTATCTCCATAAAAAAAATTGACAATTAAGCAAAATTCTTCTTTTCAGGCAATGTATTTTTTATATTTCTTTTTCAACAATTTTGTTGTAATTTTCAAGCTAGAAATTTAGTAAATGCATTCCAACTCGCGAAGATATTAGACATAAGTTAGTTATATCAGGTCTAACTAATAGTTAGTTAGTTAGTTAGTTAGGTTGTTGTTTTTATTGGTTGTATAAGTTTTGTATTTCTTCCATCTATAACTTCTACAAGGATAGTAGTAATACACTACTAGTTCCTCAAAACTCAAAAGACTCTATTATTAGTATCTTTAATAACAATAATATTAAGTTATAAATGCATAATCTAAGGAAAAAATTCAACCTTGTCTCCACGTTCGATGTACTTGACAGCAACAAGGTCTTTGGTGAGTTTATCAGTCATGAGTCTAGCGACGCCGAAATTTCCCGATCCGATATCACGAACGAAGTCGTAACGGTCACTGTCGTGCATGATCGGCGGCGGCATATCCATGGCTGCTGCTCCGGCGGGGAGAGAGATCGGAAGTAAACGGCGTCGTAGTGGAGATTCCGAGAGGATTACGGTTGTTGTTGGAGAGTAAGCAACATTGTGGCCTTTTTAATTTTAAGTAGTAGAGTAATTTGGTTTGTCTATGAATTGTGAAATGTAATGTACTATGCAAATGGTGCAAGTGGGATTTATTTTTTATTATTTTTGAAAGTGATTTTTGTCGGTTTTATAGTTTATCAAATTGGGAGTTGGTCATGTGTTCTTGTCAGGCCGCAGCCACTTGTGTTCACTTTCAATTTGAATTATTTTACTTTATGCCTGCCTTCTGTGTTTGGGTGCAATAACAATCATGTCTATAATTAGGACTTACAATAAATCAAATTAATTTAAAAATAGTTTAAAGTTTAATTTGAAAATTAAATCATTCAACATATATTTAAAAATTATATGAGTTGAATATAGTTTAAAAATTAAGTTTAAGTTTGTTAATTAAATGAGTTAAATTTAAATTATATATAATTTTACTTTTTAAATTTATGAGTTAATTCAATTATATATGAGATAAATTATATTGATAATTTCTATTTTCAAGTGAGCAAAATATTTCTATAAATAATTATACAAATAAAATTAACATCGTATAAATTCCAATCTTATAATATATATATATATATATATATATATATATATATATATATATATATATATATATATATATATATATATATATATATATTTTAAAAAATTACTTTTAAATCCGTGAAATAAGCGAATGATAAACTTAACGAGTTGAACCAAGATGTTTGTGAACTTCTAACAAGTCAAGTTTGAGTTGGAAAAAAAAGTTCGTGATGAATTCGAACTCGGCTAATTCTTAGCGAGTCGAGTTTAAACTGAAAAAAAATCTGTGATGAACTCGAACCCGAACTCGACTAATTCTTAACGAGTCGAATTGAGCTTAGGCGAGTTCGACTCGACTCGACTAATTTCCAGCCCTATGTGCAATGAAAAATAATGATTGTCTTGAGCAATAATTAACATGTTAAACATTGTAAACAAATTTATAACAAGAAAGAAAGGCTTGTTAATAATTCGCCAAGAAATTTATAAAAATTATCTCTATAATTAGGATTACCACGTCTTTCTTTTGTCCTTTTCTCTTACAAACAAAAGAAATAGAGAATATGATATCCTAAAATTTTAATGGTTGAATATTCAAATTCAGTCTGCAAAGTCACTCATGGACCAATCAAACTATTAACTAGTGAAACCATTAACTATTGACCGAGTCAACCATTGATAGCTAATTGAGTCAAATGTTGACCGATTTTTTACTTTTGATCAAAAGTTAACTATATATTAAAAAGTTCTCCCTTTTATAACTTAAGTTTTTGAGGCATGATTTCACATAAAGATTTATGCCCTTATAGTATACAAATACTTTGAAAAATCTTCTTCTCCTTTGACATTATAAAAAAAAAGAAACTAATGCTAAAGTAGTTCAAAGTCGCATAATATGATAACAAAAATTCGACGAAACTACCAAAAGAAAATACATGTATTGTGGTCATTCAAAATATAATAAAATATACAATTAACATTCATACATAAGTTCAAATCGGAAGTCTAATATCCAAAGTTAATCCACATAACATCAAATACATCATAATGCAAAGTAATAACTCAATGAAGAAAATTAGAAGGGAAATGTTATTTCCACCCTTATACGGGCATACCACACCTTTGAAAATATGAAATTGTCCTTCAAGTGTTCGAAGATACATCTCTAGATGCACCTAAAGTCACGTTAATCTTCTCTTTTTTTTAGTTTCACCCTTTTAAAAAAATATGGTTCAGAAATGCATCTCCGTAAATTGTTTGGGCGTATCCAAAAGTACATCTCTAAAATACCTCATACACTCAATTATGGGATTTTATTATTCATGTAACATATTTAAATCAAAACTTAGTGATATTGTGAGTGTGGATGTTAAACCAGTCGAAGTAAAATATGATGCTAAAACGGACGAAGTGGATGATGATGTTCAACCGGATAAAGTAAATGATGATGTTAAATTGGGTGCTCGACCGGTCGTTGTATATGTAGATGTTCGTGCATAATTTACAATAAAGAAGTGTTTTTATTTGTGAACATATGCTACAATGGATCCATAGGGAGGATAGAAATTTGGAGTCTGACATTGTAATTGGAAGGTCCGATAATTGTTTAGATGGAAGACAAGCATTTGTAATAATGGTATAGGAAAGAAGTTGCACGTACCAATAAAGGATTAGGAAGTTGAAACAAAATGACACGGGATTGAGGAAATGTGAGTGTTTATTTAAATTGAGAAGATACCATATGGAGAAGGATACATGAAAAACTAATGTGATTTCTAGTATACATAATCATGCTTTGGATGGCAGCTAGTCAGTCATCCCATTGTATGGCGCATTGTTCCAGAGGATAGGGGGCTTGTTTCGGACATGACATTAAAATATGGTGGCGCCAAAAAACATACTCGCATATTTGAAATGGAAGAGACCTTTAAATGTTTCAAATATCAAGCAAATATACATTGTGCATGCTCGAGACAACAAGGCGGTAAGAGGACAGAGATTTGAGGTGCAATAATTGTTGAAGTTGTTGGAAGATGACGAATATCTTTTGTGGTGCAGAGTTTGTGATGATAAAATAATTGTTCGAGATATACTCTACGGAGATGACTTATTTAGACAATTTTGCATTTTTGGAATCAGAAAAAGAGGGCAATGTTACATGGGCTTTAAAAATGTGTAAGACTATGTTGAAGGACCAAGAAAATATGCCACAAGTCATAATCACTGATCGTGACACTGCACTAATGAATTCGGTTGCAAAAACATTTCCTACTCTTCTGTATTACTTTGTAAGTATCACATAAAAAATGTAAAAATTTGAGTAAAACCTGTGGTTGGTACGAAACAAGTCAAATGTGAAGATGGTAAAGTTGTCAAACCCGGTGTGGTTGTGGAAAATATAATGGATGTATGGAATGATATAATAAATTTATCCATGAAAGAATTATATGTAGAATATGTTCTATATTTTAGGTGTGTGTGAGATATATCCAGATTTGCTAAAATATGTTGAGGGCACAAATATAAATCAGGATAAAGATAAGATTGTTTGTGCCTAGAACGTTCAGGTTCGACACTTTGGCAATACAACAACTAACAAGGTTGAATCTGCACAGGCTAGACTGAAGAATTGGTTAGGAAAAAGTAGAGGTGATTTTTGTCGAGATTGGGACATCGTGAACCAAATGTTCTAAAACCAACATAATGAGATATAAACATATTTTGATCGGAGTGTGTGTTAGAACACTGATTCAAAGACAACATTCTTTATTCACAGTTGGCTGGCAACTTATCTCGAGAGTCATTGAATTTTATTTTTCACGAAGTCAAGTGAGCGGATAAAATAGGTTCATATAGTTCAAAGTGTGGATGAAGTTTGTTCTCACTGGACAAGACTCCATTTTGATAATTATGGTGTTATGAAGGATGACAAATCAAATATATCTATCACGACCGAGTGGAAAGTGATCCAAGAGAGATTCATGAAAGCTAATGACGTAATGAAATTTCACATTAAATATAAACTTAGGAAGATTGCATATCCAAAAACAACATATTTGAAACTACCTTCAGAATCGGTTAAAACAAAATATGCCTTTAAAAAGGTAAAACCAACTCAAAGTGACAATTCCACAAAACGGTCTCCTTCATATTTTGAATATGTTGACTCACATTTTTCAGATTCTCTAACTCCAAACTCCCAAAAAAGTGTTTTCAATTGCACGCGTATTAGTAAACCATCACCTCCACCGTTGTTACCAAAAATCAAATTCATTGAATATATGTCGCTTTCTATGCACAAATACATCGAGTGAATTGTAAATGTTAAAAGTGACGACAATTATAGTTTTCGAGTTGTTTTAGGTTTACTCAGTAAGGGAGAGGACGACCACCAATTTGTCTATCATCATCTTATACAAGAGATAACGATGCATAGGGAATCATACACAAATATTTACGATAACAATGTAAATTATGATATAATTCCCAATGCTCTTATTCCTTGTCTCAGTGGTCCGACTTTGTTTGACAAATAGATGTGCTTTCTATAAATGGGACATCTTATAGTAAGTGTTTATGATAGGGTATGCATTGATTTAACACGATATATTTCTCGGAAACATTCTTTCCACTTCAGAGTAAGCCACCTCATAATCCAACTGAACTTATTACGTGTATTGATTGATTATAAAAAAAAAAACATTTTGTTCATCTTTATTTGAAATTAAATGTCCTATATCAAAGACATCACTGGAGTGGATGACACATTTCATATAAGATGCTGAAACATGATCAGATCACTTTCTTGAAAGGATGGAAGAGTTCACCAAGTTGAGCGACATTGAACAAAAAGGTAATAAGGAAAGGTTAAAGATTAAGCCACCAATAGATTTAGGTAGTGACTCAACTTTTGATACGTTTTAGTTGAAATCTAACAATGTAACGCGTGTTTTGTAAGTAACGCATTGCATAATGTTATAAAATTGATTAGTATTTTTTTGGACATTTTTTGTTTTTCAAATTCTACCATGCATGATTAGCATGGTTCTATTGTGCATTATTTTTAGTAGATCCGTAGATGCATCTCTGGATACCCTTTTTTATTAATTAAAAAACAAAATAGTGGATCATTCAGAGATGCATCTACGGAGAGACCCTTACTTTTTGAAAAAAATAGGTGGATCCAGATATGTATCTCTGAAGTATTTCATGCACACATGATCATGTGTGTAAGGTCCTTATTTCTCTACAACTTCTATAAATAAGGTTCCTAATTCCATTTTATTTACACAAACCAGAATGACTATATATGCCCATCTTGCATTTATGTATTTCAATGGTACGAAAACCCCACTTTAATTTAAGATCTACGAGGACATACT